GGTTGGGGGAGGGGTTGCCGAACTGAGAAAGTGGAGTATGAAGAACAACTGGAATCCAAACAGTTCAGAGGGCCTGATGCTTACCTTGCCCAGGACAGTGAGGCATGGTTTTGGGTCCAATTCTGGCTGTTCCAGCTTCACCACTCCTACCCAGCCATATTCATACAAGTCTTCTTCATCATTGTTATTACACAGGCCCAGTGGGTGCATCTGGGAAACAAAATGGAAAGAAAACTTCAATACACAGGCTGCAGATCTGCTTGACTCATACTGTACATTTCTCAGACTCAACAGTCAAAAGCAACCTCAACACTTAAAATTAAATCAGGGGTTGGGGGAAGGGAGTTATTTTATGGAGGCTTTTTCACTGCTTTGTAAGCAGTGGTCACCCAAGATGGACACTACCGGATGGGATGCAGGGAAAGCAAAACACCGTAACTCCCATATAAATGCCAATCTAAATTCCTATGAAATACCACCATTTTAAGAGCAATTACAAAGACTAGCTAGGTTAGTATCCAAGGCTATTTGGCTGCTAGACCTTAATGACACATCTACTTCAACATACGCAAGAAGACCTGGAAACACATTCAGGAATCTATGGAGAGACCACTAGACATGGCAGAGTCACCGGTATAAGTAACAGGCTATTTAAAGATGATCCCAGGTTACTGGGAAATAGATGAAATTCTGAGTTTTCTTCAAAATTTACAAAGTACAAAATCAAAGATAGGTAAAGGAGCATTGTCAAATTTTCTCCGTTAAAAGTATACTCAGTTGGAGTCTGAAAACAGAAAGGTCCTAAGGCCTGAGATCACAGCTCTCTCATTGAGTCTCATCAGGCCCTAGAATCCCTAATAACAATCTGAGAAGAGGAAATCCTTGTGGATAAATATAACTTATAAAAAAGTTAATGAGCCTAGCACAGTGCTAAGCTCCTTAAATAACTAGAATAAATATGACTTTAGATTCACGACACAACATGTTAGAGATATAAGAGACCTAAGAATTCATGGTGGTAGACAGAATAATGGCCTCCAAAGATACCTAAGATCTATGAATATGTTACCTTAAATGGCAAAGATACTTTGCAGATGTGATTAAATCTGAGGTGGAGAGATTACCTTGTATTACTTGATGGGCCCAGTAATCACAGCAAGAGTCATTATAAGAAAAAAGGGCATCATGCAGACAGAGAGGACATTTGACAATGGAAGCAGGGGTTGGAGTGACGTGCTTTGAAGATGGAGGAGGGAACCACGGGCCAAGGGAAGCAGGCAGCCAGTCTCCAGAAGCTGGAAAAGACAGGAAGTGGAATCTCTTTAGAGCCCCCAAAATAAAAATGGCTTTGCTGATCCATTTTCAACTTCTGACCTCCAGAACTATAAGAGAATAAATCTGTGTTGTCTTAAGGAATTCAATTTGTAGTAACCTGTTATAGCAGCAAATAGGATACTAATACACCCTCTTTATGCCCCACTCATTTTACAGATGAGAACAGAAGTTCAAGATAAGTAGCTTTTCCGAAACAACCCAACCAATGAGTGGCCACACCCAGAGGTAACCTGGTCCTTGGATTCACAGTCCAGTGTCTTCCCACTCCACCTGCTTCACTTTATTGTCCCTTCCTCTGAGAGCAGGTCATCCAACTGGGGAGGAAAGACAAGGTGACGAAATCTTTAGGAAAAAAATGTTGCCAGCTCTGAATTCTGTAGTATTAGAGTGCAACATGAGCCTAGTGGAGGCAGCAGGAGTTGATAGAATGTTTAGGGAGGCTTTGCTGAGCAACTGCTGAACCATGAACTGAGCTTAGAAGGAAGAGTTAGATGGGTCAGGGGAAAAGGAAATAAGAAAGGCAGTCATTCAGAGACAGGGGAGAAGGAGCTAAAGGCTTCAGGGGGAAGAGGAACAAGATCAGCCTGATCAGAAAGAAGGGCTATGGTCTACACCAAGGAGAGATGGGCTCGAAAGCTAGGAGTCTGGACACCGAGACAGAACTGCAGGTTCTTCAGCAGAACAGCAGCACACTGAAAATAGTTATTTTAGGCAGAGGGGTCACACACACTCTGGCAGTGGTGTGCCTGGGCCTGAGGGGCATCAGGGAGTGGAGGACTGAAGGGTGCCGCCTGCAGGCGAGAGATCCTTGGCAATTCACTGGAGCAACAAGGAGGGGGCTGTACAAGCTCCTGAGGTAGTTGAGCACAGGGTGCTGCCAGGGGCGACCAGCAGCTGTCTTTATACTGGGCAAGAGGTCCCCTGGGAATCCAGGGGGTTTGACTGAGACGGAGGGCCCTAGGATATTCAGTTTTTGCAGGAGTCCTCAGGCTTTATTAAAGAGTGTGCCCACAGGACCGATGAGAGTTCTGCAGTGGACATTACAACCTCCCCTCCAAGATGTGCTGGGAGGACACAGCCCACTGTAGCATATTTGATGGCTCGTAAATGACGAGCAGCCTAAAATGCAGATCTCAGACTGGAGAGAGGACGGGCAAGTGTGCAAAGCCAACTGTGCCATCAGCCAGTAACTTCCGACCTCCAGGAAAGGGCTTCCAGCCCTGCTCAAATCAGCTTCCTGAAACCCCAGGTCAATCATCTCAATGGTAAGCACTATTTGCCTTTTTCTACAGTATTCCATATTATTTTTAACCTGGCCATGTAACATAAAGGCTTCCAGATAGAGAGCTATTTTTTGTTATTTACACATGTATGGAATTTGGCCGATGATAAAGAGCCCCTGTGTATGTGTGTGTGTGTGAGAGAGAGAGAGAGAGACAGACAGACAGACAGACACACACACACACACACACACAGGGGTGGTGCATGCAGGCATCCTGCAGGTCTAAGACCTTGTATCTGTATTAAAACTTTACTGAAGAAAGAATCCAGACATAAAAAGCCCACACACTGTGATTCCACTGATATGAAATATCCAGAATAGGTAAATCTATAGAAACAAAGCAGATGTGTGGTTGCCAAGGCTGAGGTAGGGGAGTGACTATTGAATGGGTTCAGGGTTTACTTTTGGGGTGATGAAAACGTTCTGGAATCAGGTAATGGTTTCACAACACTCTGAATGTACTAATACAGTCACACTGTTTCATGGGACACACTGATAAATGCTAAGTTGGAGAGAACACACATACACACGAGAGACTAAATCTTAAGTAACTACGATTCAAGGCGAAGCTAAATGTCAAGTGCTGAACACCTGTGATACAAAGAGTAATGGTGGAGAGGTGGAGGGATGGCTGAGTGCAGCTGGGGAGAACGGGAGGCCAGGGCAGGTGGGTGGGACGTACAGACCGGAAGAGAGGAGCAGGAACAGAAACCAAGAGCAGCAGAGGCAGAAGGAGACACCCAGGCCTGGCCCTTGGCAGCCACAAACTGGAAGCTTACGGTGGAAAGGAGCAGAACACACGGCCCTATGAGAGGCACGTCAAGCGCGCGTCCCCAGGCATGCAGAAATCTGAACTATGTAAGCCTTAAACACACCCGCTGCTCGGGTCCCCTTAGGTCTGTCGGCCTGGCGCCCTGGCCACACTTAGGGCTGGGCCCTCCCTCCTTCTCCACGACTCCCCTACAGACCTTCCGCTGACACTGGGGTGACTATCAGCAGCTCAGAATGTCAGTTCTGTCAAGGATGCTGACTTCTGAACACAGATCAAAGACTTACAAACTAAAAGGAATTTTTCTAAAATGCCAGTGGGTACAGCCCATTAGTGTGGGCTGTTACTTTCCTGTGGAGGGTACAGAGGCCACTAAAACACCATCTCTGATTGAAAACCTGCCTCACCATCTCTGCCACCTTCCCAGCTCCACTCTGAGGCCCTGCTCCCCCGATTTCCTGAGTCCACTTTACATCTCCAGGGGCCCAAACTACAGCTGGTCCTGTGAATTCAATCTCAGCTGCACCTCAAATGTAACCGGCCTCTTTGATCCATCTGCCGAGCACTGTGTGATTCACGTCTCTGTCGGCTTGCTCCTGAGGACAGCATCAGCTTCGGTAATGCCTGCCACCTCAGGCCTCCAACCATTCACAACCCAGGTTCTCTTCTCAAGGGCTCCAAGTTAGGAGCTCAGCAGCGTTTTATTATAAGGGAAGCCCAAGTAGCCATAACATGAAAATAATTCACTTGTGATATGACCTGTCTTAAAGGATGGAATATTCTAGGCTAAATGCAAATGAATATGCCAAGTCTGAGGAAAGTGAAGGAGAGGGCTTTCTCATTAGCTGAGTTTGTTTAGGTATTTTACCTTATGTAGCTCTAACAGCGACCCGCTGCTAACTGTTGGGAATACCAGATGAGACAGTGACCAGACCCTGTAAATAAGCTGCGACCTAGACTGGCAAATCAGCAGCTAAAGAGGAATGGAACCGAGTCCATGGAAGTCCCATTAGTCAGTGACAGGATTCCACTCGAACCCAATGACAAGCCAGGGAGGAAGAAGAAATCCACGGGGTGCTTCCACAGAGAATGATCAAAGGGTTGTGACAGAACTTCGGAAAAAGTGAAAGATTCCTCTAACATTTTTGGAAAAAAACTTTTGATGATTCTGCTGCTTAGGTCAAACATATGGGAAGGACACCACATGCACACTGCCAGATAATTCTGCAGAAAAGATCCCCACACTGCCCACATGAGATTCACTCTTTGTTTATGCTCACAAATCAGTACAAAGCTGCAATCATAATTTAACTTGTTAAATTAAAAAAAAACTATAATTTTGTTTCATTTTTTTGAAGATAAAACCCCAATCAAACCTTTCTTCCCACTCTATCTGAAGAAATATTAACTCCTAATTTCAAAAGATCCCAAACGCCCTTGTTTGAAAACAAGCCCTTGTTTGAAAACAATCACCTAGAGAGAATAAGGACCTCCTACACACGAAATGCATATGTTCTCCTGAAGATTCAGTGAAACACTGCTTCCACACTATCACTCCAGTCAGTCATCATGTAAAAACCAGGCTTATTCATTCATATGTACACGGATAATCAGCCAGTGACAAACAGGCAGTGACTACATATAAAACCCGTGTGTGCTTCTGAATGCTTAATCATTAAAAATTAATCTTAGGATACTCAGTGAATGACGTTCAAGCATGCTAACTTGAACGTCATACATAAGCATTTAAAATTATAGGCATTTCTGAGCTTATTTTCTTAACATGTTTGGATGTGTTGAATTTACCTGATCAGATGTTTGAAA